GGGCAGAAGTGGGATAGATCTGACGGTCTCTGGCAGAAGAGGATGGGACCAGGGCAAGTGCCAAGGCATGGTCCACTGGAGGAACCTCACTGTTCCTCTCAGGCCATGCAGGGGGGGGGGGCTCATGGAGCTAAGACTGAATGCATTTCACATAGCTGGCCACCATAAAATTGTACACTGGCTCCCTGCTGGCCTGGGCCAGGGCCAAGGCAGCGAGGGCCGTTCCCTCACTGTTTCCAGGATGGCTTCGCGGGCCACATGAAACCACTTTGCGGGCCGCATCTGGCCCCCAGGCCTTGTGTTTGACATGTCTGCTTTAGATTGCATTGCCTCTACATGGCTTTCCCTCTTGCCAGTCTTGGGGTGTTCCTTGGTTGGACAGGCTCTGGGAGACAAAGCACATAAAGAGACACCTACAGCACTGGAGGAAGATGAACAGCAAACATTGATAAGAATCCATATTAAGAATGACAAAACTATGTTAATTCTTCACCGTTATTGCATTTGCTGACATTCCTCCCTCTATGCTTTGCTCAAGGAGACCCAGTCTCTGCTGAGAAGGACAGATCATAGGGTTACTGCAGGACCACTGTGATAAATATTCTCACTATTTGGCAGAAAAAGTCACTTGAATTCACTTAGAGCTGGACTCTGATATTGATATTGGGCTGGGAAAAGGTTGATTTGACTATATATGGTTTAGTTAGGCTGTGTGTATGTGCAAGTCTGCAATAGCTGTCCTTTTATTTTTCCACAAATGATCATAATCCAGTATCAGCTGTGTCTGTCCTTCCAGACAGGCAGAGACACTGGGGAAGACAAATGAGAAAGCACCACTGTTACTGGCCTGTCCTACAGTGCTGTGGCAAAACAAAACAAAAAATGAAAGATGCTACAACACTGTGGGTTGGAATTTCAAACCAAATCCCTCAATTCAAAACTTCATCCGGATCTAATACCTGGCTTGTTAATACACGTGAAAAGGATTTTAGAATTAGATCACAAGCTGAATATGAGTCAGCAGTTTGACTGTACTGCTAAGAAGACAAATATCATTGTGTGCTACATCAATCAAAGCATTGTTAAAATTCCACTCTGTTCTGTATTGGTTTGACTTCCAGGAGGAATGGTCCTCACTGCTTCCTCCTGAGTGATACTCAGTGTACATTGAGCTAAGGCCAAAGTAGGCAACCTTCTGGATTTGAAGTCATATTTTGAATTCTGAGTACCTTCCGAAATAGTGAGTACCTTCAAAGAAATTGCTACCAGGGGATACTTGCCTATTCATAAACTGATCTTGGCTAGTCATAAAACATCAATTTAATAAGAGTTCCTCCTCTCTGTCCCCAATGCAGTAATATGGGAGCTTTCTGGGATTCGAAGGCATTGCAGGAGATAATCATCATCATCATCATCATCATCATCATCATCATCATCATCATCATCATCGAAGTTGGAAGGGACCTTGGAGGTCATCTAGTCCAACCCCCTGCTCAGGCAGGAAACCCTATACCATTTCAGACAAATGGCTGTCCAGTCTCTTCTTAAAAACTTCCAGTGTTGGAGCATTCACAGCTTTTGAAGGCAGGTTATTCCACAGATTAACTGTTCTGTCAGAAAATTTCTCCTTAGTTCTAGGTTGTTTCTCTCTTTGCTTAGTTTCCATCTGTTGCTTCTTGTCCTGCCTTCAGGTGCTTAGGAGAATAGCTTGACTCCCTCTTCTTAGGGGCAGCCCCTGGGATATTGGAACACTGCTATCATGTCCCCCCTCGTCCTTCTCTTTGTTAAACTAGACATACCCAATTCCAGCAACCGTTCCTTATATGTTTTAGCCCCCAGTCCCTTAATCATCTTTGTTGCTCTTCTCTGTACTCTTTCTAGAGTCTCAACATCTTTTTTACATCGGGGTGATCAAAACTGGATGCAGTATTCCAAGTGTGGCCTTACCAAGGCATTGTAAAGTGGTATTAACACTTTACGTGATCTTGATTCTATCCCTCTGTTAATGCAGCCTAGCACTGTGTTGGCTTTTCTAAGCAGAGAAGCTGAGGTTTTGCTTTGCAGAATAATACCAATTTAGTTAATTGTACCAAGCGATGGATGATGATGATGATGATGATACTAAAATAATTTTTTAAAAGACAGGTGGGGCAAGGAACCTGGTGGACTTCAAAGGCAAAACCTTGGAGATATATTTTTGCTCCAAGGCATCAGGTTACCTTTCCATCAGCTTTGGGGCAGGGAACAGGAGGTCTTCCTTGGGCTTTAGGTTGATTCTCTCCTGTGGATTATGTGGCATCCATGGTTGGATGGATCATTCATATTCACATTTTATTGCAGAAAAGAAACATCTTTTGCAAATAAATTGAAAATGTTTGTATGCAGAAAGCATATCTGATGCAAATAAGAACCACCATCATAATCATTTCTCAGAAAAGAATGGCATTTGGTTGAGCTATTAAAAATACATTTAAACAAAAATGGGGGGAAATGATTTTATGTTTCACACCACCAAATTGTGTTTTCATGTTTTAATAAATATTAGCTGATTTTTTAATATACAGAACTTGTGGCCCTCCAGATGTTGTTGAACTACAGATCCTAGTCATCTCATCCATTGATAGCGATAGTGATAACAAATGCTAAAGTTTGTAGCTCAGCAATATCTGGACGGCCAATTCTCCCTCTATTCTGAAGGAAAGAAACAGAACTTATTTCATAATATGTAAGCTAAATTGTAAGTGATACAAATCTTTCAAGTACATACAGAATAACAGAGTTGGAAGGGGCCTTGGAGGCCTTCTAGTCCAGCCCTTTGCTCAGGCAGGAAACCCTGGCCTATACCATTTCAGACAAATGGTTGTCCAAATTAATTGTAGATAGAAGGTTTTAGGAAGAGATTGGACAGCCATTTATCTGAAATGGTATAGGGTTTCCTGCCTGAGCAGGAAGTTGGACTAGAAGACCTCTAAGATCCCTGTCAACTCTGTTATTCTATTATTCTGTTAGAGAGTAATCAACTTCATTGTTTTCCACAAATTAGTTTTCCTCTATGTGCAAAGCAACCATGGTGGAAAAAATGTTGGTGTTGGAGCAAAGGATTGTGGCATTTACTTCCTTCTCAACTATAGTGCAAGAATAACAACTCTGAAGATGCTTGAACTCTGCAGAGCTCTGCAAATGGGGTCACAGGGCTTTCCTTCTTGAAAGCCCTCTGGCCTCATCCTTCCTCCTGGCTCCTGAACATACACCATCCTAGCAGGTCCTATAAGAAGAAAGCTGTGGTGGGGGGGAGCTTTGTATTTTTCCTCACAATCTAGCGGAAGCAAACAGTGTGAATTTCTCCCAACTCCACAAAGGCATGCCAGTGCAGAAAGCTCCCCCCCCCAATTCCTAAAAGGATATTTGTTTGCACAAGACTGATGTGAACTTGGACAGGCCGGCAATTTTGCTCCTCATTTCTGAATTGACAGAAGTGAAGGTGCTTCTGGGCCGTTTTCACACTGCTTTTGTGAAAGTGAAAAGAGTTGGCCTAGATAAAATAATGTGGATTTGATTCAACAAAATGTTTTCAGCTATGGAGAAGACAATGTTGAAGCAATAAAGCCACCTGATTTATTTATTTATTTTTCAATAAATCAGGTTGTGGTTTGTTTCTAATAGCTTGAAATTTTCAGGCCGGCAGGCTGCAGAATTGCCTACAGTGTGATTGGAGCTGAGTAACTGGAGTAATCTTCGGTCCACACCAATTTGTGTCTACAGTCTGGATTGCTTTGCTGTGCACTGTAGGATTGTCCATACAATGTGCCACAGCTGCTCAGCATAAGCTCTGTGGGAAAAAGTTGAGAGGAGTTTTGAAATGAAGAAAAGGAGAGGAAAACGGGTACTTTGTTTCTTTCTTGAAAGAAAAAGGACCATATTGCTTCATGAGAGAGCTTAAGGAATTGCTTCATTTGAAGTTTCTTCAAAGCTTTTTATGGACCTAAGAAAAATAATGTGGACATGGCCAAATACAAAGCCATTGGTATTAGGAAGAAAAGAATAATGAGTCCAGAAGTCTTTGGAACTCGGACTTAATGCATTGCTTTGCTTAAAGTGAAATGTGTAAAAATCATTGATGTCTAAATAAACCAGTTTAATAAACCGCTTTATGACCAGATTATAGTTGTCTAGGAAAATATAGAATTAGTAGAACTGAGTGAATATTTTCACTCTCATATTAAGTTTGATTTTGCTAAGCTGATCACTTGACTCTGCTTTTTTCACCTTTTTCATCAGGCTTCTCTTACTTCAAGATTTACTAATCTGTGCAAAACTGATTAGAGATGCTTATCTACTTATCTCTTACAATCCTTCCTCTCAAAGTATAAAGGAAATCTATGAAAAGAGTTCAGTAAGATATCTTTATTAACATCTCGTGTATATCTTTCTAATAATGCATACTTATCTTTAAAAAAAAACAAGGTAGCCATATTGGGGAATGAAATAGTACCTTACGCATGTGAATAAGCTATTTCCAATTTAATAAAGATGTTCTCTTATATTTTAAATCATTCTTATTTATAATCCATAGAAATGCCTGTTAGATCACAGCTAAATGCATTTCTAATGAAATCAGTTTAATGTTTATCTAATGGGAAGGGAGACTTTCTCTTAAAAGAATTAATAATTTGACCACAAAATGACTACATGTCATGACTAAATTAGTTTTGGATTTTAGTAGCACTTCCTAGACTATTCCTGAGTAGACAGGAATAGAAGTGCAGCAATAATTAGGCAGATGTTTTGAATCTTGACAATAGACATGAACTGCCTTATCCTCATAGCAATGGATATAATACGACTCTGAGTACCCATTAAGAAACAAACTATGGAAAGCAGTGCTTCATTGAATGAGATGGACTAAGTAGCCTAATTATATTGTTTCAGGGTTCTGCTTCATTGCGACTATTCTGAATGTTTGGAAAAATGAGCTTAATTTCTACATTTTCCCCTTTTAGGTCCAACTCGCAAAATGCCACCCACTGCCAGTGCCATGGACTTTTTCCAACTCTTTGTTCCTGATAATGTGCTAAAGAACATGGTGATTCAAACCAACATGTATGCCAAGAAATACCAGGAGCGGTTTGGCAGTGATGAGGCTTGGATGGATGTCACTCTGATAGAAATCAAGGCCTTCCTTGCCTATATGATATCTACAAGCACTCACCATTGTGAGTCGGTCCTCGGCATCTGGAGTAGTGGTTTCTATAGCAACAAGAGCATCGCATTAATCATGACTCAGGCAAGATTTGAGAAGATTCTTAAGTACTTCCATATTGTGGCCTTTCGTTCGAGTCAGACTACACATGGCCTCTATAAAATCCAGCCCTTTCTGGACTCTCTGCAACATAGCTTTGACTCTGCTTTCAAGCCTTCCCAAACACAGGTGAGATTTGATTTCTGGGTTGTGAGAAATCTTACTCCTTTCTTGCACTAAAACTCTAAAACATACCATGAATCAGCAAGAAAACCTAATCTGTAAAGGAAGCATGTGGGGAATGCATTTGCATGTTTGGTTTCATAAGAGCACATCTAAAAATTTTCAGGGCAATCAAACCCAGGTTTTAAGGTGCCTTTATGATTCTACTTCTCAGTGGTATACAAATAGTGTAGGTGGGCTTGATGGTGGCCTTATGGGGACCCATCTCCCCTTGAACCATGCTTCAGTATGCAGTGGTGGAGAGGTATAGGCGATAGGTGTTTCCAATATGGTCAAGGGAGAGATGTCTCAGCAATGTACAAAAACCTTCTGAGTCTTTCCAGGGATTCTACAATGTGGGGTGAATGATAGTTACATTGAAAAAGTGGCCTTTAAGTTCCAGGCATCTGCTAAAACACAGCCTGTGAACTGGAAAAATCCCACAGTGGCTTCTTCTATTCTCTGAGACTTCTTAAACACAACTGAGGAATGAATGTGACAACAGAGCATCCCTTAGAGATATATCACTCACTGATTCAGTTGACATGATGAAACTGGTTAGTTTTTCTTCTGAATTTATGAAATCCAGGCTGGGCATAAGGTGATGATGATGTTGTTGTTGTTGTTGATGATGATGATGATAATAATAATAATAATAATAATAATAATAATAATAATAATAATAATAATAATGTTGGAAGGGACCTTGGAAGGGACCTTGGAGGTCATCGAGTCCAACCCCCTGCTCAGGCAGGAAACCCTACACCATTTTGGACAAATGGCTGTCCAGTCTCTTCTTAAAAACTTCCAGTGTTGGAGCATTCACAGCTTCTGGAGGCACTTTGGAGAATAGCTTGACTCCCTCTTCTTTGTGGCAGCCCCTGAGATATTGGAACACTGCTATCATGTCCCCCCTCATCCTTCTCTTCATTAAACTAGACATACCCAATTCCAGCAACCGTTCTTCATATGTTTTAGTCTCCAGTCCCCTAATCATCTTTGTTGCTCTTCTCTGTACTCTTTCTAGAGTCTCAGTGTCTTTTTTACATCGTGGTGACCAAAACTGGATGCAGTATTCCAAGTGTGGCCTTACCAAGGCATTGTAAAGTGGTATTAATACTTCACGTGATCTTGATTCTATCTCTCTGTTAATGCAGCCCAACACTGAGTTGGCTTTTTTGGCAGCTGCAGCACTCTGCTGGCTCATATTTAAGTGATTGTCCACTAGGACTCCGAGATCCCTCTCACAGTTACTACTATTGAGCAAGGTACCCCCTATACTATACCTGTACATTTGGTTTTTCTTGCCTAAATGTAGAACCTTACTTTTTTCACCATTGAATTTCATTTTGTTAGATAGCGCCCAGTGTTCAAGTCTGTCCAGGTCCTCCTGTATCTGAAGCCTATCTTCTGGAGTGTTGGCTATTCCTGCCAGCTTGGTGTCATCCGCAAATTTGATGAGTTCCCCATCTATCCCCTCGTTCAAATCGTTGATAAAGATGTTGAAGAGCACTGGGCCCAGAACGAGCCCTGAGGCACCCCACTACACACTTCCCTGCATGTAGATGCAGTTCTATTGAGAATCACACGATAAGTATGGCTGGTCAGCCAGCTATGAATCCATCTGGTGGTGATGCTGTCTAACCCACATTTTTCTATCTTATCGAGTAGTAGGTTGTGATCTACTTTATCAAATGCCTTATTGAAGTCCAAGTAAATTATATCCACAGCATTCCTCTGATCCATTAATTTTGTCACTTGGTCAAAGAATGCAAAAAGTTTTGTCTGGCATGATCTGTTTTTGACAAACCCATGTTGACTTTTAGTAGTGATTTTGTTTGTCTCTAGGTGTTCGCTGATTCGTTGTTTGATTATCTTTTCCAGAATCTTCCCAGGTATTGAGGTCAGGCTGATAGGTCTGTAATTTCCTGGATCCATTTTTTTTCCTTTTTTGAAGATGGGAACTACATCAGCTCTTTTCCAGTCCTCTGGAAGATCTTTGAAAAATATAGTTCAGTGGTTCTGAGATCACATCTGCCAGTTTCTTGAGAACCTTGGGGTGTAATCCATCTGGTCCTGGTGATTTGAACTCATCTAGGCTGGACAGGTGCTCACTTATCATTTTCTTGCCTATCTTTCACACTTCAGTCTTCACATACCTCTTTAGTCCCTCAGCTTCATAAATGTTAGAGAGTATGGATATAGAAGTGAGACAGAATATCTGAAGATTAAATCGTGGGGCAACTGGACCCAAGTTTATTAAAACTGAGATGTTTCATTACACATCCAAGTAACTTCTTCAGTCAAAGTGAAAATTTGGGTAGGCAGAGAATCAGAGAGTCATTTGAAAGAGCGAACTCTTGCCATACAGACTGTAGGAGGTTTCTCCGCAAAATGAAGATTTGCTTATGTTGGTTCTTTCCAATGACTCTCTGCCTACCCTAATTTTCGTTTCAATTGAAGAAGTTACTTGGATGAGTAACGAAACATCTCAGTTTTAATAAACTTTGGTCCAGCTGCCATGATTTCAGATACTTTTGCCTTGGATGATTGAACTTTATTTACAAGTGAGCAAAAGATGCTGATGCTTTTGAATGTGCCACCTAAAGTAATCCTGAGGGGAGGGGAATTGTTGACAACTCCACACATCCTGCCTCCTAGGTTGTAATGTTGGGGCTGGACTCAGAGAAAGGCAATGACCAGAAGTGTATATGCTCTTTAGAAGGCCAGATCCTGAAGTTGAAACTCAAATACTTTGGCCACCTAATGAGAAGGAAGGACTCACTGGAGAAGGGCCTAATGCTGGGAAAGATTGAGGGCAATAGAAGAATGAGACGACAGAGAATGAGATGGCTGGATGGAGTCACTGAAGGAGTAGATGTGAACTGAAATGGATTCCAGAAGATGGTAGAGGACAGGAAGACCTGAAGGAACATTGTCCATGGGGTTGCGATGGGTCGGACATGACTTCGCAATTAACAACAACAAATACAGACATGAAGAATGACTCAAGAAATATATTATTTCTATTGAGACATATGGTATGCTCAAATATGGATCTACCTCATTGAAAGGAAACAATAAGAACTATAGGAATCATGACATTGAAGAAGGATACACATCACATGACCTTGTTTGCTCTATAAGGGAAGCCATGGAGATGTTACATTTCATTTTGAAGCAGGTAGAAGTGAATGAGCTTTTAATAATTAAACTGTGCAAATATGCTTGTATGATAGAAGAGAAGCTATCTATCATGCCTGATGGCAATTAAGAATGATATAAATAAGTCAAATACTTTAGATAGAAGTATAAGGTGATATATTTTAAAAAATGTATTGGGCCACTTTAGTCTTCTCAACCTGTTTCCCCATTGTTCTCCAGCTTGACTGGATTTCAGTTGTCATTTGGATTACAACAAGCGAAGAAGCTGGGATTAGGGCCTGATATTTGCCTGCTCATATTATTTGAAAGGCTTTTCTACTTAAAATGGATATGAGATATGAATCCTGCTTCATGCTTCCATTTCAGTGCTTCAAATGGAAATGATTCTGGCAGATTGGAGGCCTTGTGAATGACACATCATCATGATGTATATGCAAATCCACCCTAAGCTTAGGCAGATACATAATATGATTACTAATGTGCCTTCCTCTTAAGATTTAAAATTCTTATGTTTATTTTTTGTAAGATGGTTGACTAATCCCTGTAAGTGTAATTAAGATGAAGCCAGGATAAACAGGATAACCCTACACCAAAATAATTAGTTGGTGGGAGCTACAGATTTTAATTTTGATAGCCACAAATCACAAGAATACTTACTTCGGCATCATTCTTTTAATTATATTGTTTCTTTTTATTATTAGTTATTAAACTAATTTGAAGTTATGAGATCCCTAATATCCCATCATACATTTTTTTCTAGTATAGCCAACATATTGAATTGAAAATAAGCTTTGAATCAGACTCTGCAACATTCTGTCTCCCGATTTATGAACTCATCATCTCTATCCTGTATAGCCACTGGGCTATGGGATGATGGAATTGAAGCCGAACACACTAGAGTGCAACTACTGTTCTCAAATGATTGCTCTGAAAGATAGTGATAAGACTTGGTAGCTATTTTGCTGATACAAGAAGAGTCATACACACCCTCTTGCACTCAGGGATAGCATAAGAAAAAGGTGGTTTTCGTTTAAGAAGTCACTTGTATCCTCAAAGAGAATATAGAGGAGAGATATGTTTGCCAATGGAGGTAACAAATTAGGAACCCAGAAATATCCTGCTTCTGGTTTCAAATACTTACATATAATTACTGTGGTAGTTTATGGTTTACTCGATGTCAAAGAGATGACAGTTAAAGCATGCAAAGCAAAACCGAAGTCTTTATCAGACCTTTGTCTAAGTTTTGTTTTAACAGGAGCAAATTGAAGGAAAGCCCCCAAATCAATCAAAGATTCGAAGAGCTGAGTCAGGGTTGTCAGCCAGTCCAGAAGTCAGAATTTCACAAGCAAAAACCACACTAATGTCATGCAAGAGCCAGAGATCAGAAGTTGCTTCCAGCAAAGGAACAGGGTTCAGGACTGCCTCCTAAATCAGTTTGCAGCCATTTGTCATTAATAATGAGATTTACTCCTTTAATTTGCAAGAAGCCTCAACAAACACCACTGATCTGCTCTCCATTCTATTCACTGAGTATGAATAGAGCTGGGTGATCTTACATCCTCCTCCTCTGACTAATCCAGCTGTTCAGGTAATGTCTATTTTTGATCAGCATCATGTGATCCCTGACTTTATCTCTCCTGAGGCTGATATTCCACTGGGTCAGCTGGAGCAGCTTCTTAAAAATCATATTCAAAGGCTAAGGCTTGGGCCATGACAGCTAGCATTTTTCCTAATTAACAAAATGCATTAGAGAAAAGGGGATATTAAACAATCTTTTGCCAAATTAATAACTCGGAATACCTCATTTTAGCCTCTTTGTCAGGGGTGTCAAACTGCTGGCCTGCTGGCCTGCAGGCCGGACGTGTCATGTGGAAGCTGCGCCCACCCCATTGCCAGCAATGGCAAAATTGGCCTGATACGTTGTGCGACATCACGTCGTGAGTTTGACATGCCTGCTCTAATTACATTTCCAGTATGATGTAATCCAATATGATAATTCTAGAAAAAGTTTTCTTTAAAATGAAGAACTGAGAGGTCCTCCCCCACTCCCAATATAAAGAGTACAAGTTCCATAAGGAGCAAAATCTTATTAGTATCAAAGAGCTTTTTTGCTACTTCAAGTAGCTACTGCAGGAAGATGGTAGTCCCAATAGAAATTATGATAGCAGCAGCTATTTGCTATGCAATTTGCCTGGATATTTGCATAAACATAATACACATAGAGTTACCAGATCTGGGCTGCAAAAATCTGGATAATGGCTAGATACTGTAACCCTTTACTGCCGGTACTACTTTGCTATGACCCTTTACTGCAAATTTCTGGATTTCTCCAACTAGAATCTGAAAGTCCCAATGATTTCTGCTTTGGTTCTGCAACTGATAAAAATCAATTGATGTAATAACCTAGATCACTGTAGTGAGATACAGCGCAACAAACATGCTGAATTAAGTCAACATTTTTCACTGCTATCAATTCAGCACTTAGATTCTTCTAGCTCAGGGGTCTTCAAACTTGGCCCTTTTATGACTTGTGGACTTCAACTCCCAGAATTCCTCAGCCAGCGTGCCTGGCTGAGGAATTCTGGGAGTTGAAGTCCACAAGTCATAAAAGGGCCAAGTTTGAAGACCCCTGTTAGCTGCTGGCAACCACGTGCTAAGACTTCAGTGCATTGTATATGAGACACTCAAAACCTTGAGCCAATCTCTAATTCTGCTTTTTGGATAATCTGAATGAGTATCTTTTTAGTTCATTTTCTTTTGCTATGAATATTCGTTTGTCTATGGACACAGCTTGAATAAGACCTGTACAATGTTAAACAACTTTTAGAACATCTGATACTTTCTACGAATCTATAATTGGCTGTACCTGGAAAACAGCTACAGCTTTTAAACTGGTGTTGCCTCTTGGCCAGCCTCTCTAATGGAAGGACATAGACAAGCAGTTGCTTAAAGTAGCCTTCTTGCTGTGGTTTAATACAAATTTTGAATGAATTATTCAGAACCTTTTAGGTTTGGCACCTCATTCTGTTGACAGTGTTTTGGTTACTGAATTTATTTTCTACTGTACCAAGTGTGACTATTATTTTACAGCAGTGCATAAAACACCGAAGAGAGCCAAAACAAACAGGATGGCGTTTAACTGCTTTTCCTAATGACAAAAGCCAGTTATTAGAATAAATATTGCCTGACGTGTAGCATGCTGGAATGCGGAAATTAAATGTTCAATGTTTATTTATTTAATTTATATGATAGCCTGGAGCTTTTTTGGGAGGAGGGGGAGGGGGTTTGGATCACGTGAGAGGGAGTTCCAAGATTCCAGTTCAGAATATGGAAAAGTAATACACAGAATGGATATATTATTCATTGACCATGGCATCATCTCTTTCTACCTATGGGCCGGGCATGCTGTACTAGTTTTCTCACCTGCCTGTTGTTAACTAAATATGTCTCTCTCTTTAGGGGGTAAAAAGGAACTTCCTAGTAATCTCTATCTCTCTTTCTCTCTCTCCTCTTCAAGATAGTTTAGATATTTCATATATTTCTTTTAAAAAATCCAACTTTTACTTCAAATCCTAACAAATGCCTGCTGGCATTCACTGATAGCTGGGTTAAGGCATGCAGTTATCTGCACTCAGGACAACTATATGATGAGCTTTTATTTGTTCTTTTTAAGTGGGACCTGCTGCTACTTAATTATTGAGTATTATTTTAGTATTTTGCATTTTTCTCTACTTAGGAGCACATAGTCTAATGATTGGTGCCGAGTTGATGTGTCCAACATTATTGTAAATGTAAATTTTTGTTTGCTATTTCATTATTTTATTGTTTTTATGACTGTTTCATTTATTGGTTTTATGGTTGCTTATGATGGGCAGCCATATAAACCTTTAAAATAAATACATATTGTAAATCTATCCTGACTAAAATAGCTGCCATGTTCTCTTTTAACTTACTTACTGGGATAGCTGGGTTTTTGGTTAACATATTCTTAAACAAATAAATGGCTTGATGATGATCTATGGCTTTTTTGAGGGAAGGGGGAATAAACAGGTAATCTACAGACTTAATCAAGTTTTATTTAAAACAAGGACTATCGTCACTTTTAAGGTGTTCAGATGACATACAGGTTGCTCCATTTACCTATCTCTAGATCCTTTCACCCTAATAATTTTTCCCCCTCAGTCCTAACATAGAAACTCATCTGAAAAGAAAATTGCCTAGAAACAAATTATTCCAAAATTTTATAGAAGTCAGCTATTGACAATGGAAAAATTCAAAAACTCACTCTGCCCTTTGCCACTTAAAAATCAGATTGTAATTCACGGTGGCCACTCCCATGAGACCCTTTGTCCTCATTTCAAAATATTCTTCAAAAATGAAATGCCTTCAGAAAAAAAAAACCCAGGACAAATGGGAGTGTGGATTTGCATAACAGGATTAAAAGGATGTGCTAAAGTACCGACATAGACTACATTATACCTAATTACAATAACATTACTTCAGAAAAGAACTCTCCTTAATTTATAGTATCTGCCTCCTCCATCCTCAAGTCTTTTTACCATTCCATATACATAAAAAAGCTAAGGGAAAACAAAAAAGATCAACACCCAGAAAAGCAAGGGTTAAACCTCAGGCAAACAAGCAGAAAACCATACCATAATTGAGGGACTACCAAGGAAAAAAAACCACATCCCCATTAACACTGGTGGGCCAAGTTACTGTAGATAAACCCCACACATATCTTGCACTGATAATGTTACCAAGTTAGGTAATGAAATGTCTACAAACAACCAAGACAGCACCAAGGACTCCAAGTTCATCCTAAGCTACATGTATTCTCTTCTATTAAAACAGTCCTTTGTTTGACTAGATAACCTTTTGTTTCCTTTTTTTAAATGCTCATTTGATAGTTTTGAGGCTGTTGGTATCTGCAGAAGTAGAACACAATTGGTAAAAACCAGCAGGCACTTGGGCAAAGTTTAACATTCTGATGGGAATTACAATTACCAAGATGAGTCTTCTGGAGGAATCAAGTTCATTATAAACATTCTAAAATTTGTCAGTGCCAAAGAAAGCATAGCAATTTATGATAGTGATTTTTTTGTTCTTAAGATGCCAAGGACAGATACAACAACTGAATGTTCTGATCTACATAATTAGAATATATATTCAGCAATCACTTGAACAACAATTATGATTTGGATAATTTATAATACCTGATTCATGTTTTTTTCTAGATATTGTTCACAAGCTTCTTTGTTTCATGGAGTATTTCATATGAGAATTGAGGCTATGTTATGGTACATATTTGATGGTTGAAAAATAGAGGGTTTTTTAAAAAAATATTAATATATCTGGGCTACTTTCTAATCCATTAAGTAGGGTAAGACCACTCGTATAAGGGATTGATTCAATTTTGGCAAGCTTAAGGGGATTTCTAAAAATGGTTTCCTAGCCTAAGACCAAATAACATTAGCATATTATGACTTTAGGTACTCCATGAGCCTCTGATTGATGAAGATCCAGTTTTCATTGCCACCTGCACAGAGCGAGAATTACGTAAGAGGAAAAAACGGAAATTCAGTCTCTGGGTACGGCAGTGCTCATCAACCGGGTTTATATGCCAGGTAAGTGCCAGAAGAATGGATTGCTAAGTTCCAAGCCATCATTTAAAGAAGCTGTGTCTATCCTTTTCAGTAGACTTCTGTTGTCTACAGAAAAAAATATAGATACAAGTTTATAGATGTGTGATTCATACCCAGTTGAAGTTTCCCCAAGATATTGAGTAGGAAGTTTTTTAATGAAACTTCCCTAGCAACAGATGGCTGTATATAGCAAGAATTGAAGCAAAAATAGTTCTAAGACATTTCATTGTCATGGGGGTGCATAAGTAACCTACCTTTCAAAATTTATGTTTTGGGGCTAATCTCTGAGTACAAAACAATGGACGCTGTTAAATTCCATTCAGCAGTGTTAGTTCATGCTATGGCTACGTCAATTTGATGGAGTGTAGCAATTTACTTCCGCTGAGATCCTGACAATTTTCTTTCTATCCAATCCTTCTGCTAGTTTTCTCCCAAGTGAACATTACGTTATCCATGGGATAACTTCTCATTCTTTCTGATTCAATTACCTGGGTCAGTAGACATGGAGATATTTCTCTTAATCTCATTCAAAGAGCAGGATATAATTTTTTAAAAATATAAATAAATATAAATAAATTTCTCCTAAACTCAAGAAGTAGGCCAACAAGTCCTATTATGTTTCCAGAAAGCCCATCCGACTATCATTTTTGCTATGTTTATTTGGACTCAGTTACCAGTCATGATGAGTGCACTGTTGGAAGACCTGAAAGAACAATTTGAGATAGATTGCCATACAGAAATTTATCAATTTGGTTGCTAGAAACTGAAAACAAGTTGATGGCATGTCTATCAATCAATCAATCAGTCTACATGTTTTTTTGACATGGAGGGCTAGAAAGTAGTGAATCCATACTGTAGGAAACTTTGGACTCAATTTATAATGGACCATAACTTTCTGAATTGGTATTTTGAAATTCCCCCCTTTCATCTTATGAAGTCTGTCATGATCACCAGTTTATTTATTTATTACATATATATATATATCCTTCTTTCTAGGAGCTACAATAAACTGGTTTCCAAAGGTTATTCCCATCATTTTATTCTCAACAGAACTTGGTTAGTCATAGAAGTCATATTAATCTTAGGGCAGAAAGAGAGCTTGGAAGTCTTCTAGTCCAACACTCTGCTCAAGGCGAGATACCTTGTATCATCCTGGACAAATGGTTGTCCAATCTTTTCTTGAGAACTTCCAGTGACAAAGCACCCACAACTCCATAAGGCAAGCTATTCCACTGATTAATCACTGTCAGAAAATTTATCCTTAGTTCTAAGTTTGAAGTTCTAAGCTTTAAGAAGCTTCCACCCATTGCTTCTTCTCCTGCCCTCAGGTGCTTTGGAGAATAAGCAAAACCACTCTTTTCTGTGATAGCCACTCAAGTACTGGAAGACAGCTATAATGTCACCTCTAATCCTTCTCTTTGATAGGATAGACATATCTAGTTCCTTAAATCATTTATTATATGGTTTAGTTCCAGACTAATAATAATAATAACAACAACAACAACAACAACAACAACAACAACAATAATAATAATATAACACTTGTCGATAAGAAAGACAAAAAAGTCTGGACAGTGGACGTGGCAGTGCCTGGAGACACCAGAATAAATGAGAAAAAACGAGAAGATAAAAATACAAAGACCTACAAACAGAAATAGAAAGGCTGTGGCAAAGGCAAGCAAGGGTAGTATCAATAGTAATAGGTGCCTAGGGTGCAATCCCAAAACAACTGGAGCACCACTTGAACACCATTGGCATTGACAAATTCGCCATTAGTCAATTGCAAAAGGTGGCCTTACTAGGAACTGCTTCCATCCTGCGACGATATCTGTAATACCATCGAACATCCACATCTGCCTATCCCAGGTCCTTGGTAAGGACTTGATAGGTAGACAAAAATGCCAAATCCAGTCTGAACATCTGGCTGACTCTGCAATTATTATTATTATTATTATTATTATTATTATTATTATTATTGATGATGATGATGATAATAATAATAATAATAATAATAATAATAATAATAATAATAATAATAAAAAAAAAATTGGAAAGTATCTTGGAGGTCATCTAGTCCAACCCCATGCTTAGGCAGGAAACCCTATACCATTTCGGACAAATGGTTGTCCAGTCTCTTCTTAAAAACTTCCAGTGTTGGAGCATTCACTGCTTCTGGAGGCAGGTTGTTCCACTGGTTAATTGTTCTAACTGTCAGGAAATTTGTCCTTAGTTCTAGGTTGCTTCTCTCTTTGGTTAGTTTTCATCCATTGTTTTTTGTCCTGCCTTCAGGTGCTTTGGAGAATAGCTTGGCTTCCTTTTCTTTGTGGCAGCTCCTGAGATATTGGAATACTGCTATCATGTTTCCCCTCGTCCTTCTCTTCATTAGACTAGACATACCCAATTCTAGCAACCGTTCCTTATATGTTTTAGCCTCCAGTCCCCTGATAATCTTTGTTGCTCTTCTCTGTACTCTTTCTAGAGTCTCAACATCATCCTTGTGTTCCTCTCTGCACTCTTTCTAAGGTCTCAGCATCTTTTTTATATTGTGGTGTGGTATGGCAAACTTACAGTGTGGTGTCATGATGAAAATTCTGGACAAAAACTGAAGAAATTAGACTGAGACTTACCATTACTTCCTCGTAACCTAAGCTACCTTGAGCTAGCTAGACTTGAACATTGGGTCCTATCCAATAAAATGCAGTTTTATGGTGAGAAAAGTAAGACCCAGAGGGATCTACAGCTCCACCCCGTCCCCCACCTGCCTCGTCTCATGGCGGCAATGGCGCGATGTGCGCTCGGCCTCTTGCTGCCAGCGGCCACAGCAGAAGTGGGGTGGCAGCCATGTGGGCTACTGGACAGGGCTTTTGGTGCCACCACCACAAGGCGAGGCAGGTGTCACGAAAAATATAAGACACCCCCAAAATTAAGACCTAGTGCCTCTTTTGGAGGCAAAAATAATATAAGACAGGGTCTTACTTTCGGGGAAACACAGTAGATCCCTCTCACAGTTACTACTGTTGAATCAGGTACTGCCTATTCTATACTTGTGCATTTGGGTTTTCCTGCCTAATTACTGGATCTTACTTTTCTCACCATAAAACTGCATTTTATTGGATAGGACCCAATGTTCAAGCCTAGCTAACTCAAGACTAGTTTAGGTAGCTTAGGTTAAGAGGAAGTGATGGTAAGGCTCAGTCCAATTTCTCCAGTTTTTGTTCATGATTTTCATCATGAAAACCACACTGTAAGTTTGCCATACCACAGCACTGATCCCAAATGTTTATAGAGTAGCTCCATACCCTTCACTGTAATATTAAGTAATATTAGGTTTCAGCCATGGGAAAAAGGCATAATCAAGCAGTTCCCATGCATACGTGGGCAAAAGAGGCAAATGAAATTACATGTATCACAATGTTATGGAATACCTTATTCAACTTGATAATGTAATCTGTTATGTTGCTACTGATGCAAATTCCATAAATTGTTTTATTTACACAATGATATCTTAAAGCATTTGACTTCATTGTGGCTTGTACAAGATGCTTATGTTAATTGAGTGTGCAGAGAGATGGAGAGCTGACTAGTGAGTAACAGAAAGCAAATTCTGGACTCTCCAATGATGTAGAAAATCTGAAGTTTATTTTTTCCAGTCCTTTGAGCATCAGGGACAGGAGTCAACATCAAAAACAGATCCTTTGGAATCTCAGCAATTACAAATGAAGAAATCGAAGTAACTCTCAAAATAAAACATCTAACCAAGGAAGTAAATAGGTCTGGTTGCAGTAGTTTATTTATTTTATTTATTGAGAAAATTTATATGGCTGTCCAACTCACTTATGATGACTCCAAGCAGCTTATAGATATACAGGAAGAGCCCAATATAAAAATCCAATAAATCCCCACCCCACTGTCAACGACAATCAATCCAAGTCCTTGATGGGTCCATATTACTCTGGGGTTCTGTTAGCCTTGTTGTTCAGCCTTGAGGCTTGTTCTCCTATATTCACATAGTCTCCATAAGCCTTCTGGCCTCAGCATATCAGCAGGGCCTTACTTGAGCAGTCTCTAGTCTCCTCCTTCCTTCTAAGTAAGGCTTTGTAGCATGAAGAACCACCTCTCTTTTCTGCCTGGGCAATGAGCTCAATCCTGGCCAGGCAACAGGGAAGGGTGGGAAAATTTATTTATATAGGCCTGATGAAGCTTGTCTAGCAGAGCACTTTCTCTATCTGCTTCTCTTTGTCCTCCTGTGGCATCTGCCCCCTCCTTCAAGCTTCTTCTCCAACCCTCACACCTGCCTTTTCTTTAGAGCAGCCTTTATGCTTAGCAAGTGCTGAGTTTGCAGGCACCCATTGCCATACTTACAAGGAAGCTGGTGTTTTCCCTTCACCCCACCGAGTTATTATGAAAGCACATTTTTTTTATTAAGCAATGTGCTGTTTTGCTTTGCATGGTAACAGACACAGAACAAAAGCTATAGATTATAAAGCATATCTGGCAAAAAATATAGTCATTTCAAACAGGCTGTAACAGTAATTTATGTTCTGTCCATCTTCATTAAACTATATCATCCAACTGTTAGGTCAATGAATATGGATAATATTCAGCACATCAAGGTATCAACCTCAACAGCATGAACAGACGAAGGCAATTGACACTTGTGTTGGCTTCCAAATAACATTCACAATAATCTCAAGAGCTTTTGTTTATCAGCGTCTTGAGAGCACTTTCTTCACATTGGAAAAGAGTCACGTAGGAAAGGATTTTTATGAAGTTCTGAAATGAACACTTCAAAGCATGAACCCCTTAGGTCCATGGTTGCAATGACAGATGTGGGATTTTTTTCCCCCTAGTGACTATATACTTAAATGCATATTTGACTTTATGTTGATGACCTCCTGGGTGCATTTATACAAAGGCCAAGTTGAAGTCAACCACTTATTTGGAGACTGCCTGCTGTTCTGTGCAGGAAGAAAACAATAATTTGCTCAGTATTGTAAAAGAAACTTTAGTTGTGGGGGGGAATGATTAGTCTTACAGATATATAATTGAATTAAATGAGAAAAATTGTATTATCTCTGCTACTATCCTTATGTGTGCATATTCCCCAAAAGGAATTTGTACAAACCTAGTGTTAAAAAATATACTTAACTTGTAGTTAAGTATATTGAGGCTATCAAGCCATTGCGTTAAACCATAATATGATGTACTCTTCTGGACATGATATGTTACTTGAACATAACAATTGTGATTAATTAGGATGTTGTGTATTACATGAAGCTAGTTCCTCTGTGCCTAGGCTATCATCATCCATAGAGGAATACTTGCCTTATTTTTAATAGCAGCTGCATCCCCATTGATCAAAGGATAGAACCTTGAAGCTGATCTTCTGACATGAAACTGACATTTATTAGCCTCATGTTAGACATTCCTTGATCTAGTAGCTTTCAGTTGCCTGTTTTGGATTTGAAGAGAATCTAATTATATGCAGACTTAGCTTGTCTGCATAGGAAAAATAAAGTTCAGAATTTGGAATTTAGAATCCTCTTGTATATAGAATAGAATAGAATAGAATAGAATAGAATAGAATAGAATAACAAAGTTGGAAGGGACCTTGGAGGTCTTCTAGTCCAGCCCCCTGCTCAGGAAGGAAACCCTGTACCATTTCGGACAAATGGTTGTCCAATCTCTTCTTAAAAACTTCCAGTGTTGGAGCATTCACAACTTCTGGAGGCAAGTTATTCCACTGATTAATTGTTCAAAGTGTCAGGAACATATCCTTGAAGCTGAAAAAAAGGGAGGGGCACTCTTTGAGAATTTGGGATACAGCGCCAGACGTTCCCACTGAATTGTACACATTGAAGTTGCAATGGGTCAAATTATTAGATACAAAGGAATAATAAGCTTGCCTTTATTTAAGTTACAAACTTAATAAATAAATAAATAAATAAATAAATAAATGGCAAATGACAAATAAAATAAGATCTCATTTTGGTCCTGTTCTGCTCATCTTATGCATTTCAGTGCATAAATCAAAGTCAAGGGCACTTTTCAAGCCATAAAACATTGCCCATCCCTGCTTTCAAATAAGAGTAGATTTCATCTGCTTTTGAAAGCGAACTGGCCTAATTTTGACTGAATATATGAATTTAGTTAACTCTCTAAGAAAAAGCACAATTTTCTGGCAGACATCAAGTTTGAAATTCCCAAATGGACATCTTCTAGTTGAATCCACTGTTTCTGTGGTCGTTAGCTGTAATGCTGGGTCAGATTTTGTTCTTCTCCATTCATGAAATCTTTTCTCTCCCTGTAAAAGAGCTCTTTTATTCCTGATTTTTTTTCCCCACACGGAGTGAAAGGAATGTTTAATTTTGGAAGAGATGACCAGGGGGATTCTGTTTGGTTTGTCTTTCTTCTCATTTGTTTCATGTTCTTGCTTCCTCTAGAAAGTTGCTCTTTGCCTTCCTGTGGTTAAATTTGCTCTCCAGTAAGAAGGAGAATATGGAGTTACCATACATGTGCACAGGGGTCATTTTTAAAATGAACCAAAGAAAACAAAAGACTAAAAGATGCCTTTGGGCCGTTTCCATCGGCTGTAATAAAGTCATGCAACCTTTTATTTCTCCTGCCCTCTCCCTGTTGAGCCTGTCTAAATAAGTGCTTAGTTCTTTGCATTTCTTTTGGTCTCCTGTTGATTTTGTCCCTTCCTTGTTTAAATGGGGAGAAAAAAATAACAACACAAAAAAAATAGTGGGCACGTTGGCTATTATAACCTGCTGAAAGGAGTGGATTTTATAGTTCGGTCCTCTACGGTTTTAAATGATTTCTTGCTATCCTATCTGTGTTGGGCCAGAATAAACAGGTTTTCTTGCTTGTGCTTGTTGTTTTGGTACCTTTGGGTCAACTTGAACTCCTGGCGATTGCCTGAACAAGACCCTGCAGTTCTTCCTAGGCCTGAAGAGAGAATGACTGGCCTAAGGTCACCCAGCTGTCTTTGTGCCTCCTGTGGGTCTAGAATTCAGTCTTCCTGGTTTCTAATTTGGTGCCTTCACGACTACACCACTACTCTTTTTAGCCTGAGATGTGCTCTAATATTTGACAACAATCTAATATTTCATCTCTGAATCTTTTTAGTTTCATGGCTCTGCTACTCAGATGCATGGAAATGAGACCTATGAGCCAATTTTGACTGTGCTTTTAGCCTGTCGCTTATACTTGTACATGTTTCCTGTCTTGCATTTTTACATTTGCTCCTGCTGGTATATATGATCAACACCTATTTTATGAATGTGGCTGGTACTTCCTTCCTTCCTTCCTTCCTTCCTTCCTTCCTTCCTTCCTTCCTTCCTTCCTTCCTCCCTCCTTCCTTTCTCCCTCCCTCCCTTCCTTATTTTCTTTCTTTCTTTCTTTCTTTCTTTCTTTCTTTCTTTCTTTCTTTCTTTCTTTCTTTCTTTCTTTCTTTCTTTCTTTCTTTCTTTCTTGTAAATTATTTGTAAACTTAAATAGAAATTAAATAGAAATCTACCAGTGCAGGTTACTGCATTAAAATTTGAATGATATTGCCTACCCTAATTTTGAATAGGGCTGTTTGGCTCTCAAGCCTTAATTGATTTACTAGCTCTGCATTGAGAGTGAAAAATGTAAGCCTGAGGTGAATTTCCTTTTAAAGGGCAGAACTGTAGGAGAATTAGCCATCTGTCTTCTTTTTTTTAATTAAGCAGCACTGAAGAACTAAACAATTCCTGTTATATAAACCCAGATTCAACAGTTATGTCTGTCTGAAGAAAAAAAAACCCAATGAAAACACAACAAATAAAAGCTGAACATTTGTATCATCCATGCTTCTTCACATGTTTCCACATATTTTTATATAACATTTGCAAATTTACTTTTTTATGTATTTTTAAAAACAAATGCAAACATAAAGGTTTTATGCACAATAAAGAGCTGTGGTGGTGCAGTAGTTAGAGTGCAGTATTGCAAGCTAACTCTGCCCACAGCTAGAAATTTGATCCTGGCGGGACTCAAGGTTGACTCAGCCTTCCATCCTCCTGAGGCCAGTAAAATGAGGACTCAGATTGTTGGGGGCAATATGCTGACTTTGTAAACAACTTAGAGAGGGCTGTAAAGCTCTATGAAGCGGTATATAAGTCTAAGTGCTATTGCTATTGCTATTTGGGCATAATGATAAACTATATTATGAGGGAAATAAGTATTAGATTCCTCTCTAATTCTCAGGTTTCCCTCTGCTTCAGAAAAACTATCAGGATAGGTTGGATTTCATTTTGTTGTTGTTGTTAATTGCGAAGTCGTGTCCAACCCATCGCGACCCTATGGACAATGTTCCTCCAGGTCTTCCTATCCTCTATCATCTTCTGGACTGTGATTAATTTTAGATTTGTTTTGTTCAAAACAAGTCAGATTAATAAATCACAATTTAAACTGGTGTAACCACAGTGTGAAGTTGAGCTGGATGTTTTTAGGCTAAACATCCTTAATTCAGCCAGCATGGCAACCTACAGTTAGACTATATTACAACTGCCCCTTTCTGTGTGATTATGGCTATATAGTTTGTTTCATTGCTTGAGTGTAATCTTTGATCATTGGTTGACAACTGCTCCAGGTTTGAGGTGGTATCAGCTATTGACTCTACAGGTAGATTCTAGAGTAAAATGATTGGAAAGGCTGAGTCCAAGAGATAAGTTTAAGAACTTGCTTCTTGTCAAGGATCTTGAGGAGTGAAATTGTGACCTTTTCTCTAATGGAATCAGGAATGTCATTTCTTTTGTAGTATTGAGAGAAGAAAACTGGCAAAATATTGGTAAAGGACTATGTAGTTAAAATCTCATTTTATCCCACTACCAGAAGGCATAGTCAATTGGGAAATAAACAAGATTGAAGATTGCAAAATTTCACGTCCAATGTATCTGGGGGGTGCCAGGAGGGAAAGGGTTAGTTAATACTTAATAGTATGTCATAAATCTCTTTGTACATTAACTTTTCCCCCCTTGCTGTTCTCTGTCCATCCACCCACCCTATTTCTTGTTTCGTGATTAGATCTATGCCCATCTGAAGGAAAGCAGTGGGACTGAAGGTCTGGATGCTTTGAAGAACAAAGCCCAGCTTCACAGCATAGTGGCCAAGAGTCTTTGTCAGAATGTCACGGGGAAAAACTGTATTGTCTTCACTGGCCCCAGCATTACCAGCCTGAACCTCTTTGAAGAATTTGAAAAACAAGGTTAGTGCCAGGCAATGCATGGATCTTGGAACAGTCCTTTGTGAGGCCTTTATTCTGTGAAACCTGAAGCCATCATGACGGATACTCTTACTATATTGCTAGATATAAATATGGCTCTCCCAATGCAACATTGGTTTTGGAAGGTTTCCTTTGTTATTATCAGAAATTGAAGATTATTCATGTTGATTGGCAATTATTCTCATTGTTGAGTTTGGGGGTTGGGGAGAATAGCAGAATCATGAATGATATAGCATTTCTGGACCAATGAAATCAATCGAAGATGATTTGTGCATGGTCCTATGTTTGGTCTTCTGTTAGCCTTTGCACTGTATAATCTCTAGAAATCCTTCTTTCAGTCTTTCAGCTTGTATTGAAAATTGATCTTTCAATTTTTTATGTTTAAATTTCATTTTAAAGCAAATGGTAGGCTTTTCTCTTTTGACTGGCTGCAAGAATGACATGGAAAATGAACTCTCATTGGACATACAAAAAAATTAGTTGAGGCTTTTATATATATATATATATATATATATATATATATATATATATATATATATATATATATGTATGTAGGTCTTTGGTTGTTCGGGTTTTCTCCCACGTAAAATTGGAAGTGTCTTGGCGACGTTTCGACGAAGTCCCATTCGTCATCTTCAGGCTGGTGTTTTCAGCTTCGTGCTTGAGCAGCAATGTGTGGTCTTAGCTGTTTCTTCCTTTTAACTGCCAGTGGGGGTATGAACTGATTGGGTGGGAGCTTGGCTGTGTTCTGATTGGGTGGAGGTGTGTTCTGAATGGTTAGGGGCTTGGCTGTGCTCTGATTGGCTGGGGGAGTGTTCTGTTTGGTTGTGCTCAGGTTAGTCTGAGTTGAAGAGGGGTTTAAGATTTTGGGCTGCCTTGCTATTTTCTGGCTTCGCGTTCGTGGTCATGCCTCCTCTTCATGGAGGGTGTCAGTTTGCTTCATGTATGGATTGGAGGGGTTTAAAGTGGCTAATGATGCAGCTGTGGTCTGGCTTCTGGTTTGTGGTCGTGCCTCGTCATCGGTGTGGCTTTGGGTTTGTTTTTTGCGTGGATGTGTGGTGGTGACATCCTGTGTGGTTTTTGTGAGTGTGGGTCTGGTATCATTTTTTGTGTTAGGGAGTCGTTTGTCAATAAGGGCGGGTTTCCAAATGGCTGGTAGGCGGGAGGTATCATCTCGCTTGTTCATGCTGTGTGGGCGTTTTTCTATCTCGATGGCTTCTCTGATTATTCTGTTATTAAAATGTTCACTTTTGGCAATGGTTCTGGTATTTTTAAAGTCAATTTCATGTCCTGTGGCTTTAAGGTGTTGGACCAGGGAAGATGTTGGTTCCTCTTTTTTGACTGAGTTCTTATGTTCTTCAATGCGTGCACTTATTCTTCTGTTGGTTTGTCCAATGTATGTGGTGGGACAAGTGGTGCATGGGATTTCGTATACTCCTTGATTTTCTAATTCAATTTTATCTTTGGGGTTTCTAAGGATGGTGGATATTTTTCTGTTTGTGCAGAATGCTGTTTTGATGCTGTGTTTATGGAGGATCTCCCGCCTACCAGCCATTTGGAAACCCGCCCTTATTGACAAACGACTCCCTAACACAAAAAATGATACCAGACCCACACTCACAAAAACCACACAGGATGTCACCACCACACATCCACGCAAAAAACAAACCCAAAGCCACACCGATGACGAGGCACGACCACAAACCAGAAGCCAGACCACAGCTGCATCATTAGCCACTTTAAACCCCTCCAATCCATACATGAAGCAAACTGACACCCTCCATGAAGAGGAGGCACGACCACGAACGTGAAGCCAGAAAATAGCAAGGCAGCCCAAAATCTTAAACCCCTCTGCAACTCAGACTAACCTGAGCACAACCAAACAGAACACTCCCCCAGCCAATCAGAGCACAGCCAAGCCCCTAACCATTCAGAACACACCTCCACCCAATCAGAACACAGCCAAGCTCCCACCCAATCAGTTCATACCCCCACTGGCAGTTAAAAGGAAGAAACAGCTAAGACCACACATTGCTGCTCAAAGCACGAAGCTGAAAACACCAGCCTGAAGATGACGAATGGGACTTCGTCGAAACGTCGCCAAGACACTTCCAATTTTACGCGGGAGAAAACCCGAACAACCAAAGACCTACATACAAATACCCGCGAAAACCTCAGAAAACATATATATATATATATATATATATATATATATATATATATATATATATATATATATATATATATATATAGTAAACCAAAAGACTGATCTGGATGAATCTTCTGAGAAGGGAGAAAAAAGAATCAATATCAACTTTTATGATATTATTTGAATGGACTAATAATTAAGATTGTTAAACATAAAAGAAATGAACATAAAGTTGGTTTATTTAATCAAGATTAAAGTAGATATGTTATTATTTCTGGCAAACCTTAATGGACTTTTGCTGAAACCAAGACTGATGATACTTTAGAAATTCATTGATAGATAGAGATCATTGGTTGTAAATTAAAAGGAAGCAATAGTTATTAAAATTGTAAATACATATTACAATAAAGATTGAAATACACACGCACACACATACGCACACACAAACATTTCTTTGTTTACTATGTACTTAACTTTCTTTGCTCTACATTGTTTTCATTTCCTTTGCAATTTTTACTCTTTCTACTTTTCTTTTTCAGTTTGTATTAGTTTTGCTAGTGCAATTACAGTATAATCTTTAATAAAATTATTTTTAAAAAAGTTTAAACATGGATATTTGTAACTAACATTTGGATTATGAACCTCTCTCTTCTCCCCCTTCCTCTCTCTCGTACTTTCACACATAACACACATATACCAGACATCTACACCTGTTCAGACCAATTTTATGCTTCCCATTTAAAATAAGTCAATTTCCCCTGGCATCAACAGGGCTTCCCCCTCTCTCTCCCCTTGTAACTCTGGAGAGGATTGCAGCCTCATTTGTCTACTTTTGTCACCATTTTTTCCAAAACAACAATTCCCTTGGTTTCTCTGGGAAAGATCATTAGAAGTTGCCATCAATAAATCTTCACACACAATGAGAGAGAGAGAGAGAGAGAGAGAATCACACACACAAACACAAACATGCACAGAGAGAGAGAGAGAGAATCACACACACACATAACACACACACAAAGAGAGAGGGGAGAGAGAGAGAGAGAGAGAGAGAGAGAGAGAGACTCAATCTTTGTTTTTAGTTTGTTGTTTGCTTCAGAAGCAAGGTCATTCAAAGTGACAAGTAGCATGAAAATAGCTCCTGAAAAAGCTACTATATTTCCCTGAAAATAAGACCAGGTCTTATGTTAATTTTTGCTCCAAAAGGTGCATTAGGGCTTATTTTCCAGTTAGGTCTTATTTTCGGGGAAATGCGGTACTAAATGCATCCGTCTGGCTGACAATCTTAACTGGGGCTTATTTTGTGGGAGGTGCTTATATTATGAGCATCCTGAAAAATCATGCTAGGGCTTTTTTTCCCGGTTGGATCTTATTTTCAGGAAAACACAGTATTGAAGAAGGGGCCAATGAATGAGTAGAGGGTATCACAGTGGTGGTTACCTTAATTTTTTTCTTTCTTAGACTGAGTGGGAAATAAAGGGTTTGATTCTTTGCATGGGAGACATTCAATGAACCACACTAAATGACAAACCAGCATACGATCAGACGGTGATCGTCTGGACTGCTTTCACGCTGTCCAGTTTCTGTACTGTTGTGTTGTGGCACAATACAGTTTTAGATGAAACATGTGATTCAGACTTAAAAACAAAGGACAAGATAATTGATTCAGACAGAGTTAAATTTCACCGCATGTTCTTGTAGTAACTGTTGTTTCCCTTTCAGTTGTTTAAGTTTTGCACATCTCTTTTATTAATGTGGTCCACTGAAGGAGCTCTTCAGAAGATTTTAAGCTATAATTTCTTTTTTAATTTTAATAATCAGAGATTTGTAGCACAGATCAGGGTGGCTGGAAGCCATTGGCTTCTAAATGGTGGGCGTGATGGGCAATCAGAATCCCGCCCTTGACCCATGTTAAAAAGAGATGAGGTTCTGATTATCCAATGTTGCCCGCCATTTTGGAACCATTGTCCATTGTCCATTGATGCAGTTGCTCCTTGGTAAGATACTGTAGGTTTCACTTTCACACATGTGTGCACCCATAAACTGCTTGTAATCAAATCATATGTTTACCTACTGCTACCACTAAATTCTCTGCCCCCAACCCTTTAATGCCATTAGATTATTTCAAAACAGTTTCATGAGAGATGTGACTTCCGTACAGATGATACTCTTTTTTACAACTAGCCAGAACTAAAGGAAAGGTGTTGTTTTAATTACATCTGGTTTTTATCGTGATTGCACTTTTTAGCTTGATGATTGATACGGTACCTATGATTGTGTATCATTCCTAGGGATAATTTAAAAAATGATGAAATTAGTTGTGTCATCTTATCCTGAGCATGTCATACTCCCTTCTGAAATGAATAAACTACATATCAAGGCTTTCAGATTTTAATGCTTGAAAGTCTGGAGGATAATATGACAACAAACTAATGTGTGACTGAGGTGCAGTATTTGTTTGGGGTCACTCTGGTAAATAAAAATATGACTTGGTTCATGTTTTTATGCTACAAAAATAAGTTGATAGTATTCTAATGCAAATGTTTTACCATCTTCCAATTATAGACATTTATTGCTGTGGATTGCTAAGTACAAGGAAAAGTGACTGCACAGGGCTGCCTTCCTCAATGCTAAACAACCCAGAGACCCCTCAGTCTCGCGGACATTACAGGATAAAAATGAAAAGAAACATGTCTTTGATCTGCTGGTACAATAAAGGCTACTTTAGATTTTTGACCAATGCTTATTCTCCACTTCAACAAGGTGAGTGGTTTGTTCTAAAGATGACTTCTTTCTATGAGAAGGGGGACAGGTAAGGTCTGGACTGTAAGAAAATTGGACAATCTGGATTAGAATCTAGAACAGAATAAAGTTAAATGCATCTTTCAATGCCATGCACATTTTTTATAAATTTAAACCATACCATCTTTGAGCAGTAGCTTGAGAGACTGAGGAAAAACCTTTCTGCTGTTGCTTAAGACACTAGTAGAGGAAGGGTTAATCAGTCTCTCTTTCTGGCACTCATGTGGACTTACACAGTTGCTGTTGTTATTTCCATTTTAAAAAAATATATTAGAATTGGTTATGTTAAATGAGAAGCATTCAAAATTAAGCATAATATGGTGCCATGTCCAGTTGATTTTAAAAGGGTTAGCAAGCGATTCAGTAGATATTCTTAGCTTTAAGAAAATCAGACTCCTCCAGCTACATGATTATTTAAAAGTCAACAAGTTACTCAACAGCCAGCATTAAAAAGTAGCACCTCTTTAGAATCTGCCATTCTAATATGGCCCACTTTGCAAGCATTTAGCAACTTCCTTGAAGACCGAGATCCCTTAACAAACAGCTGTCTTCTCTGCAGACAACTGGTAAATATTCTGACAAAGAGTATTATATCTCATGCCTTACATCCAGGAAATAAAATTGTCTCTAGGTAACAAACTGAAGAATTAGATGGATGTGTGCATGTATTTTCCTCAATCACTTCCATAAACATCTCAATATAAGAGAGGAAGAAGGTTAGTTAACGTAGCCTATTTACAGAACTCTTCAGATCTGTCTCTTGTAATTATTGCGTCTTGACTCTACTTTCTAGAGATTTTCTAAATATTTGGAAACTTATGCTGTGCAGAGGAGTGTCCAACCTTGGCAACTTTAAGATGTTTTTTCACGAGGAACTGAACTTTCTTGTTTTTCTCTGAAGAGGTTTTGCTTCTCATCCAAGAAGCTTCTTCAGCTCTGACTGGATGATGGGGAGCTGAAGAAGCTTCTTGGATGAGAAGTGAAACCTCTTCAAAGAAAGTTGCCTCGTGAAAAAGCATCTTTGGGACAACTATGACCTGGATGATTGAGAATCTCCGTAGACGACTTGTGGACTACATCTTCCAGAATTCAACTGCCTCCGCTGTCTGGGGAATTATGGGAGTTGAAATGCACAGATCTTAAAGTTGCCCAGGTTGGACACCCCTCCCCCCACTGTACAGTTGTTATTTCCTGTGTGTTCTTGGAATACTGAGCCAAGTTGACCTGTTGCCCACTGATTCATCAAATCCAGTAATATTTTCAATCAACAGTATAACATGATGCTATTTTATGTATTTTGGTTGCAACAGGAGTTATCATTAAGAGGAAGAGTGGAGAGATCCCATGCCCTCTTGCAGTGGAAGCCTTTGCTGCTCATCTTAGTTATATTTGCAAATATGATGACAAATATAGCAAGTAAGTAAACAACAACTTACGTGATTGGAAGTGTGAAACTTTTAAACCAAATTCAGGATCCAATATGGCTCTCTGTACAGAATGATGCCATATAAGAAGTGACCTACCAACTTTTCTGAAAATGATTCTGACCATTTTTGGCAGAACGTTTGTTTTTAAAGAAGGTAATTGTTTCAGGTACTTTAGCAATTTTCAAGTATTTGGAAATAATATGTGTACAGTTGCTTGTTTCCAAGTCATGTGAAGAAAGTGTGCTTGTCAAATCTTCACTTCTGCAGTACTTCAAAAAGATTCAAAGGAAATGCAGCTAGTTTAAATGAGGCCATTGAGGACCATTACAGGAATGAAAACTTAAATTCAAAGCAACTATTGGGGAAAACTGAATATTATTAGATTAAAGGAGAGACCCTAAAATCATATGTAGAACTCTGAAAGATTTGAAAGACTGTTACATACAAAACAACCTGCTTCCTTTTATTTCAGAGGGCAGATAATAGCACAGGAGAGGAGATTCTAACCCAACAGTAAGAATATTTTGATAGTGGAATCACTTACCAAATAAAGTGATGGCTACCGCTTTGTTCTGTGCATTCATAGACTTCTAGGTCCTTTATCATGGATGCTTTATTTTGGATTCTTGAACTGAATTTAGACTGCAGTGGAGGGTTGAACTCAGTAACCAAGCAGACATCTGCCAGTTATATGATTCTGTGGATTTATGCTAGTTAGAGATTGATTTAATTCTGTAAACTGCTATAGGTCTGTGTCCAGCAGTTAAAATTATATTCTTACATATAGAAATATAAGGTTCTACATTTAGGCAAGAAAAACCAAATGCACAGGTATAGTATAGGTGGTACCATGCTCAATAGTAGTAACTGTGAGAAGGATCTCAGAGTTCTAGTTGACTAAATATGAGCCAGCAGTGTGCTGCAGCTGCCAAAAAAGCCAACACAGTGCAAGTTTGCATTAACAGAGGGATAGAATCAAGATCACGTGAAGTGTTAATACCACTTTACAATGTCTTGGTAAGGCCACACTTGGAATACTGCATTCAGTATTGGTCACCACGATGTAAAAAAGATGTTGAGACTCTAGAAAAAGTATAGAGAAGAGCAAAAAAGATGATTAGGGGACTGGAGGCTAAAACATATAAGGAACCTTTGCTGAACTTGGGTATGTCTATTTTAATGAAGAGAAGGACGAAGGGTGACATGATAGCAGTGTTCCAATATCTCAGGGGCTGCCACAAAGAAGAGGGAGTCAAGTTATTTTCCAAAGCGCCTGAAGGCAGGACAAGAAGCAATGGATAGAAACTAACCAAAGAGAGAAGCAACCTAGAACTAAGAAGAAACTTCCTGACAGTTAGAACAATTAACCATTGGAACAACCTGCCTCCAGAAGCTGTGAATGCTCCAACACTGGAAGTTTTAAGAAGAGACTGTATAGCCATTTGTCTGAAATGGTATAGGGTTTCCTGCTTGAGCAGGGGGTTGGACTAGATGACCTCCAACTTTATTCTTATTATTATCCAACATCATCATCATCATCATTATTATTATTATTTGGAAAAAGTTGCATCTAGACAGTAATACTTCATACTGCAAGTAGGAACCTGCACATTTTAATGCTCTTCCACATGAAAAGAGTGTAGTGACAAAGGCATCTGGGTAGAAACTGGAAGACCATAAGTTCTAGTGCCACCCTAGGCATAAAGTCACACTCTCACAGCCCTAGGAAGTAAATCTGAAATCTTGCCAAGAAAAACTGCAGGGACTTGTTCAGGAAGTTGCTAGAGATCAATGCTGACTCAAAAGAATACATCACATAAACATGTACATACACAAATATGGATTGTGTTTGGAACATAGCTGTTGTATACCAGTATGTTTTTTTTTAATCTTCCCTTTTTTCCTCCCTAAAAAAACTGCTTTTACATCCCCAAGTACATTTTCACAGAGATTCAATAACCAGGGGTGATCATTTAATCTTTCTTTTCATTTGAAAACAAGAGTAGAGGACTCATGAACCTGGGGGCTGCAGTGGCTTTTCTAAGACAGAGAGATTTCTAGCAAGACTGCAGCATGTGAGAAAAGTCTAGCTGTCTTTCTATATCTTTCTATACCTCCCTGTCCTTCAACAAGAGGAAACTTACATTTTGATATTTAGTATTAAATCTATTTGGGTTTGAAGATATACCAAGCAGCGCTTTAGATGACATTCCTGTTCCCAGAATTCGCCAATTATTAGACAAAAGGAGATGGCTGCTTTAAGCAGCAGATTTTGAGTGGGTACATTCTGATTTTGAGTTCATCGTAGCTTTGATTAGCTCTACAATTTCTAAAATGTCTTCCTTTCAGCCTATTCCAAAATTATTTCAACCAGATGAAATAGCTTCAGCTCAGTTTTGTATCTAAAGATGGCATACCAATGAAGGTATGGAAATCACAAGGGGAGAAATAGAGGATATCTATTTGGCATATTTTTGGCAGGGGGAGGGGAAATCTCTCGTGATCTCCCTGTTCCCCAAATCCAATGGTTTGAGCAAATTTTCCTTGGCAGGACCACTTGTGATATGACCAGATCACTTTCCCCTTAAAAAGAGCCAGGGCCTGCAAAACACCGGTGACAGGCATTCAACACATGAATCAGATAAAGCCTCAGAGCTGAGCAAACAAGAAATCTCGTCTTGACTACAAACTTGGGACATTTCCCAAACATTTCAGGAAGTGAAAGGCAGAACCTGGCCACGGTTCTCAAGCTTGTTTCCTGGCAGGCATGAGAAATTAGTGGTATTGCCAGCTTTTCAAAGATCATTGACTCTCCAAATGGACTTTGGCACTGTAAAATGGCAGCAGGTAAGTCCAGAAAATTGAGGCTTGTCCCAGAGGAGTTTCATTTATTAACAGATTTTTCAGCTGCCCTTCAACTTCTCTCTCAAGGACAGTTTTTAAACAGACATTACTAGTCTCAGTTCTTATGGAGTAAAATAAGTGGAGAGATTTGTGGCAAGCTACTGTAATAAGCTAACTTCTCATATATAGACAATGTGGTGGGCTGGGGAACATGGAAAAAAAATCTTCTAAGGTAGATGGACAATTCAGAAATTTGAAAAATAAATAAACATAAATAATTTCCCTCACACTTTTGATATAATGTGGCAGTTTTGCCTAGTCTGGACTACCAAAAGTCCAAGTCAGTGTGACCCATAACTTACCAGCTAGATTCTGGAAGTTTGGGTTCCAATGTATCAGAAGGATATCCATTAGTGAAAGTTCAACAAATATGATAAACTGTATATGGTGCACACCATCGAATTAATCCCTAAGTTCTCTTTGGAGAACAAGAGATCTTCCATCTGAGCTGCTGCTGATGTAATCATAATGGCTTAGTGGGATTGTATTTCCAAATTGGTCCACATAAAAAGCTCTTAAGCTAAAGAAAAACTGAAATAATTCAGAAGCTACATTATCAGTATACAGATGTATTTTTGCCAAAGAAAGGAAAAGGAAAGAATATTGGTATTTAGTCTAACTGCAGATAGAATAAATTGTCTGACCCAAGGTCACTGAACATTCTTACTGGAGTTTCCCCCCCCCCCGCTTAAATTATCTATAGTTTACATGAGGTTTTAGAAATAATGATGGATTGATAGGAGTCACTTATATCACAGTGTCAGAAAACCATATCCTCTTCTGAGTGACATAATAAAATATAAGTAATAGCATTTTTGATTATAAATATATTGTATTATAGTTGATGTTACATGTGGTTGACTATTTTAATGGGCATGGCTTGTCAATTGTCGTAATCTTTGGGATTGATAAATTCCAAGATGACAATCACACTTCTGTGATCTAGGCCATTTATGTTCAAGGTAAGTTTTGAACAATTTAATCCATTATTTTAGTGAAATAAAAACATGGAATAAATGAAATGAGATTCTACCACTATCTTGTGCCAAAGAAAAACAAAAGTTAAAGACATTTCTTACATTCTTGTTTGGTTCCATGTAATATTGGGAGAAAAATGTTTACTAAAAACACACAGTTATACTGCAGTGATGTGAGGTATTTGCGGTGCTCTAAAACTGTAAGGGCTAAAGCTGGTAATGCACAGATCCGGTCTAGACAAAATTGCTGTGTTAAAATTAAGCAGCTGCTTACCATTCTGAAGGTGTATAAAGGAGTGACCAAGAATCTGCTACCTAAAAAGGGAAGCAGGAAAAGATTTAAGGTTTAAATGACTAAGATATATGTATATGTCTTGGTTTCTGTGTGGCATCAGACAAAACTTCTGAGTATATGTGACTTTTGGCAACCAATAAAATAACTGCGTCTTTGAAGATTTCTGTGGTTATCTATATTGTAGAGCTGAATTTCTGGTGTAGGAGAGATTTATAGCCATTCTTATCCTGAATATCCTCTAAAAGTTGTGAACAGAGTGTACCATATACTGGAAAGTGGGGCAGTGGAATGGGATTTGTTGTTCTGGCAGATTGCTGAACCGCTACAGAAAAAGGAGTGAACTTGGCAAAGCCAAGCTGAGGCAACAGTTATTCAGGCCTTTATACAAGAGTTCATTGAAATGTATTAGGTGGAAGCTGAAGCCGAATTCAATTTCTAAGCTAATACTTACGTGGTATGTTTTTGCAAAATTCACAGGGGTAGTAGTAGCATCACATTAGTCTGGCTTATGCAAGTAGTAAAGTAGTCAAATTGGATGGTGGATTGTTGTGCACTATCAACATCCAAGAAAAGAACAGCACCATTCTTAAAAGTGAAGTGTTGTCTACTTTTAAAAACAGAAATCAAAGACTACACCAAAAAGACTTGGTTCATTGGTTTATTTTAGGATTTCTAGAGGTCATGACTGATTCTTACTCATTTGGTTTGTTGTGATTTTGCTTCCACCTCTAGTGTATTGACACATAAAGGCACTTAACTTATGCAGTGGAGAGCAATGGAAAACTAATATAAATCTTGGACACGGTGATTCCTGCAAAAAACACTATGAAATTATATGAAATGCATCACAGAAATCCTCTAGGAATAAATCAATCACAGATTTTAAGGTTATGTTTCAGTCTGCAGTAGTAAAGATAACATACAACTTGAGATCTTCATTTAAATGCAAAATATCAGCTGGGCTGCTGCTTCATCTGCCATCTTATTTCCCTTATTCCTCAAAGTATGAAAAGTCTGAAGCATTCAATCTAGGAAGATCACAAAATTACACTATGAGAAAACCTAGTGTATTAATTGAGTAATCATGTTTCTGGATCCCTGCAATCTCTAATTTAGATTGCCTACTGGTCTACAAATGACTGGGATCGTGTGAATTCACAGAACAGATACATAGTTGAAAGAACTTTGGATATTGAAGTGCTAAGAGGTTCTGGAAGGTGACAGATGGGGTATCATTCTGTGTCATTCATAATTACCTTGGAAGATAATGCAAATTTAGAGCACCCTGCATTTAGATTCTGCCACTTTTAGAACACATCCCTTCCTTTTTGACTTAAGACACATTTTAAGAATTCATTTCATGACCTCACCGTTCTCTCTCTCTCTCTCTTTCTCTTTGGTGCTTTCCAGGTATTTCATTTCTCATAAACCAAACAAGACCTGGCAACAAGTCTTCTGGTTTTCCATCAGCATTGCCATAAACAATGCTTACATCCTGTACAAAATGTCTGACGCCTATCCTGTGAAAAAGTACAGCCGAGTACAATTTGGTGAGAGACTCGTAAAGGAGCTGCTTGGATTGGAAGAGCCCTCACCTGGCCATTGATGGATCCTTCTTCACAGCTTAGGCTAGGAGTGGGGGGGGGGGAGATGGAGGAAAGAAGAGGGAAAGAACCCTGGGATGCCAAGATGGGTAACTTACTATTCCATGTGACAAAATATTTAGGGAAGCCCTTAAGTATGTTGGTGTCTTCCCAATGGCCTTGTTGATGTTCAAAGGGCCCTCAAGAGAGCACTGTATGAAAGCTGCACATGTGAGTGCAACACAAGCATCGGTGAATCAGAAGTGAATTTATGTTAGCTATTGCTCAATCTGATTTTTCAAACAGGGTGTTAGTTGTCACACAAATCCTTTTCCCTATCCCTTTTCAAGATAGAAAGGCTCAGCAGTTCCAGTTGGGCATGTTATTGTTTGTTTGTTTTTTAATCAGTGCACAATGTGTAAAGTTATGCACTGCTGTGTGGCTGAGAAGAGGTTGCTAGAAGAGAAATATATATATATATATATATATATTAAAAAATATATATAAAAAATCTATTTTGCAAGCCAGTGATTAGGCAATGGCAATGAAGACAGTAGACTGAAGATTTTATTTTGTTGCAATGCTTTTAGATTGTAAAAGGGGATATAATTTTGACAGAAAAATGCTTTTTTTAATATAAAGGAACAGTGAGAAACTGAAAAGTTTACCAAACTAAGTTCATTGTGCTATCAGAAGTCCAAGATTAATTTCAGTTATGCCTTAACAAAAGCATATGAGATTTAATTGCAATCATCCTGTATTATTCTCCAGACCTTGAATTTTTTTACACAATGTGAGAAACATATAAAAGATTCTCTGAGGAATTAGTTTCTCCTTAACGGTGGCTGGATTTGTGCTTTTTACACAATGCTGCATAAACGTATATGCCAAATCCAGAAATAGTTAAAGGTAAAATTGGAGGCCCCAAACCTAATGATATATACTGGTAAGTCTAAAACCAAATGACATAAACAATTTGTTGCAAGTTGATGAGTCATTTGTGAAATTGCTGAGTGAGGCACAATATATTTCCAAGTGTGTTATTTCCATTTGTCCTTTAAAAACTCTTACCCAAAACAATTTAACATTCTTAGATGCTGATAAATATCTAAGTACCCTATACATCTCCATACTGATGAATGAATGCTGCTCATGAAGTCACTGCCAAAAAGTTATGACAACATTTTTTTATTTTGCTCAGCTAACATCAGACTTGCCAGCTAGCTTTTTCCCAAGGCATTTACTTCATTATGATTCCATTGTTTTGGCCATCTTGCTGCCTTGTCATTTATGACAAATGAGACACTTTTCTGAAGAAAAAAATCATTGCAATACTAGACAATCAGAATCACTTGCATGATAAACTTTGTTATGAACCAGTTCCAAAGCATTACAAAAAAATAGTCATGCCTCCACTTCAGCACAAAAAGTGCTGAGTATCACATGGTTACCAGGCGCATGTGGGCAAGAAAAAAAATTGCACATAAATTACATTGCAGAGTTTGACTGTAGCATTGCTTTGTGTGATACAATTTAAATATTCAGAGATGACATTCCCTTTTAAAGTAAGTGATCACACATGGAAAGATGTGTTTAAGTCTTTTTGTAATTAACTATTTTCATAATTGTTTAATAGTTAACAGCCCAACACATCTGGAAGGAAAGATTTTGGAAGGCCTCCATAGAGCTAATGTCAATGTAAACATCTTTATGTCCTCTGTGGGTCTTAGGGGGCTCGGGGGCTGCAAAACCAGAGTTAGATGCTCCCTATGACAGGAGCTGATAAGTATATGAGCTGATGCAGTTTGAATCAATTGCATTTTCTGAGTATTTTTAAGGGTAGTCCCCAGTAGAGAGTGTTACAGTAATCTAGCCAAATGGCGACTGGGGCCTGAGTTGCTATACCTAGACCAGGGGTAGGCAACCTTGGCTTTTTTATGACTTGTGGACTTCAATTCCCAGAATTCCTGAGCCAGCCATGAATCATAAAAGAGCCAAGTTTGCCTACCCCTGACCTAGACCTTCTTGGCTCAAGTCAAATTGCAAATGATATACCAGCTGAAGCTGGGCATAGACTTCTGAGTCACTGCATGTCAAGGAACATAGGTGTCTGTCATTCAGAGATAGTTGCTGTTGCATTTATAGGTCTGTGAATGTTACGTTCTGGCTAGGGGACGCTCAAATCTCAAAGCACAGAAGACATAGATGGATTGTCCAATCAACATGCAGGATGTGCATATCCATACAACACTTAGTTGAGATTTCGGAGGTGTGCTCGTCAGCCTGTCTGCAACCATCTGCAACTTACACTTACCCATCAATTCCTTCACTGTGTTGGTGTGTGTTGAATCTACCATACACACAATTGTGGACAAGTCTAAATCAACCTTTGCACTTAAGCATGGCACAAACACACCCTGTGAACCTTTTTATTTCTACCATGCTGTCATTTCACCTCCAGCCTATCTACCGAGTGTTATTCCCCCCCCCTTTTTTTCTGGAATTGTCCAAAAATAGCCATCAGGTATGTAAAATGTGTTAGGCTTTGTTACCCATTTCTTTGGAAGGATGTTAGATGACTGCAGTGACTGGAAATAGAAGCAAAGAGGCAGGTTAGGAGTCAGTCATACATCCTGGTAGTTTTTTCTGCCAACTCAAGGATGGTGGATAGAACCAACTCACAGTGTAAGGGGGGGACACACAATTTTGCTTCAAAATAGTTAGCATTTGCAATATAGTATGATACCTTTGTATTCAAACTTTCATTTGTTGCATAATGCCTGTTTATCCAAAGCTTAGTTTAAGGTTTTCTTCCAAAAAAGAGTAAGGATTTCAGCCATGTTGGTTGACCATTAAAAGCTTCCTACTCATCTCAAATATACTTTAATTAAGTACCACTCCTTAACAAGCAACTTCATTGCATTTAACACAACATGCTTCTTATAGAATTAGCTAGTCTTGGTGAATTATTTTTTGTGGTGAAAAAATCTTCCCATATATAAAAGTTTGAATTAACATAGATCAGCTTTCCTCAACTTTAGCATAGTTAGAGGGCATGGACAAGTATTCTTCTTGAGAAAGGCTGATCCAGATGTGTTTCAACATCCTGAATTCTTGAGGTCTTTAATCTTCATTACTTTGTTTTACCAATTATGCCTATATTTCCTTAAACATTTTTTGTTAGGACTAGCAATATCAGCAAGAGGGATTGTCTCCCATATTCAGTTGGCTATATAAGATAATACTGGTAATATTTCATTCTTAAAAATGTGAAATTGTATTATAGTCTTCCTTGTACTTTTCTTGAAATTTAGAATTTCTATAGAAGGATCTCTAAGCATACCAATTTCCTCCCAATTTCTCACTGATGCTTAAGAGCATTGTTCATCTTACAAGACTTGTAGACTACTCTTAAGAGTTCTCCTGTCAGGATATAGTGCCCTGATACTAACAGCAGACTATACAAGTATTCAAGGTGAGGATGTATTCATATATATGACAATGAACTTGGGGAATTGAGTTATGCATTCATCTGTGTAAAGACCATCCAGATAAAGACAGGTATAGTGGTGGACAGAAAGCGTTTCAAAAGTGCTTTTTCAAAAGGCAATTTGGACTTGTTTTTTCCTTGAGGAAGATGTTTCGCTTCTTATCCAAAAAGCTTCTTCAGTTCTGACTGAATGGTGGGGGGGGGAGGGGAAGGATTTATATTCCTTTGACTTCTCCACCATTCAGTTAGAACTGAAGAAGCTTCTTGGATGAGAAGCGAAACATCTTCCTCAAGGAAAAAACAAAGTCCAGTTGCCTTTTGAAAAAGCACCTTTGAGACAACCATGACTTGGATGACTGAGAATAACACGTGACAGTGAGCCTTCCCTAAAACTATCCCAGGGAACATAAGCCCACTCAAAAGATATCAGGCATAGCACACTCACTGTGCCTTTCATGGCACACTACACACTTATTGTCACTCAGTGAGATCCTGGCACATGATAACCAACATTTCACTCAGTGACACTAAATACCGGTTTTTGTAAAAAAAAATTGTGTAAATTATGATACCATGGTTTAAGAAGTAGAACATAGATATTAAACCAGTGAAAACAGTGCTATTTAAATTGGAAGTTTTTAAGAAGAGGTTGAACAACCATTTATCTGAAATGGTACAGGGTTTCCTGCCTCAGCAAGGGGTTGGACTAGAAGACCTTCAATTTTGGTATCATTCTGTACCCACTAGATTGGCCTCCAGATTCTTCTTGACTGTTTAGGTACAGGGCTCAGGCAGCATATTCATTAATTGGATGAAGTGAAAATAGCTCTTTTCTGGGTGGTAATGTGAAACGTACGAAGCTGAAGAGGTGTGGACAAGACAAGATCTGAGGAGATTTTTTAAAAATTGAAAAGTTTCATGAAACAAAATTATAGTGTAGGAGGAATGGAGAGTAGAAAATTACATTCCTGAACAGCAGATGGAAGTCCACTTGCCTTTATGATCGTGGATCAATATATTTGGTAAGCAGAAAGGCCAATGGGAAGTACTATTTTCCCATTCTTCTAGGAGCTCTTAACTGCTATCACTTATTCTCAAAATAATTTTGTAATGGCATTTGCAAATTAATCTGCATTAACATGTACAATTAATAAAGATCTTGCATTCCACCACGAAGTGGAGTGAGATAGGAGAAGAGGAAAATAGTTGTTGCAACTTAGCTTGTTTATTATTTTTGGCCTTTTTTTTTTCTTTGATCTGACATAGTAACAAAAAAAAGTTCAATCTTGAAAATAGAAAAATTCAGAGGAGAGAAAAATAATCAGCCTAGGTAAATTAATCTATCTAAAGCATTACTTGTTTAATTGGTTAGGGAAAGTGAAGGACAACATGAACTAGATGTGTGCAGAAGTCCAAAACAATTGATGTAGAGTTCACAGCTTGGTAAAAAGTAGTATGAATGTCTATCTTATACTGGCTTAGGAAATGCTGTACTTTTCTGGTTACTGAGACCTCATTCTTTTCCTTTCCAAAAATAAAAGCAATCAAAATAGGAGGTCCTTGATAAATAAAACCAGAAATGATCCAGGTCTGTTCCATCTATGCATACTACAATGTTACGGCTGCTGCACTATCGGTCGACACACAACAGCAAGAGCTCAGGGGCTGATTTCAGTAAAACAGGCCAAGCCATCATAGAGGAAATAAATGAGATATTTGGAAGGGAAGCCCTATGAGCTATAATTTTTTCTTTTCCATTTTTGCAACGTACGTGTCATTAAATGAAGTAATACCCAGTATACTAGTGTAGTGCTGTTATTGTGAAAAGTGTGTTCAGCAATTTGTGTGTGATCAACTCTGCTCACAACACATCAGTGACTGAAGTTCAGTCATAAGCTTCCTTCCCAAAGTGTGATGAACAGGAAGTTTTTGTTAAACCATGTCAATGCCGGATTAAACGTGCAGTGCTGTTTTATTATTTGGGTTGAAACAAAATACTGATTTTATACATATGCATCTATTCAAGGAATGCTTGTGTGGAAGCCCCTACACATAAGTAAGGCTCCCATCTGTATTTCTGGCTCTTTGGTTCAAGTGAGGATCTAAATTTTTGTGACTGTTTTTTGTTCTACACAAAAGCACGCTTGCAATAAATTTTTAGAGGTTTTCTATGCCATGAGCTAAATTCTAAAATGTGAAATATGCTAACAACACAATTCAATGGATTTATAATATCACTCTGATGTCATGTGTTTTTTTTCTTTCCTTTCACAAAGTTTGTCTTACAGTCAACAACTTTGAAATACAGTCAAATATAGATTATAAATTAGTTTTCCTTGTCTCATTTTTCCTGGGGGAGGGAAGAATTTGGGTCACAGAAAAGAAATCTAAGCTACAAGATTATGGTTTAGGCACTGGGTAAAAGGAAATGGACATGCAGCAATATTCATATTAAATTTAAATTTTTAACATAGTGGTTAATATGTTAATATCAATCTGAATCAGCATGCTATCAATAAGTGGCATTTACTCTTTGAGGCCAACCTACATACTAATCATGCTAGTATCCCTCAGGATAAACCATGTTATGTAAATTGCAAAACAAGAGTAAGAAGTTGTGAGCAAAGGAAATGAAGGATAGGCAATAAGAGTAAAGGAAATCTAGCCAAATGCACCTTACACCAACCTCATTTGCTATACATCTTCCTAACTTTTTGCCTTGTAAAAAGTTGTAAAAAAGTTGTAAAAAATTTACGGCATTAAATTTAGAAAAAGATTGCCAAGTAGCAGAAGCACCCAAAATCACAGAAACTGAATGAGGTGCGAACTTTAACTCAAAACCTGGAATTTCATTAGTGGCTAATGAACAAAGTTTCATTCTCCCCTGGAATACCTTTAATAATAAATTAATAAATAAGTTGATAGCTTTAACTTGGAAATAATAACAGCTAAATGGTGTCTTTTGAATCGAAACAGTGGTTGCTTGAAGAGCTACAATTTTCTGTTGCATGCCAGCCGGCTAAAAATATTTTGGGAAGTAGCTGAAAATCTACATTCATCATGAACCTCAACCTATTGCCCAAAGCAATAGCAATCATATGTTGGATCTGAGAGGGCAATACAGATGATTCGCTAGCAACATCTATGATTTCCCCCTTCCCACTTGTTAAATAAACACCATTTGTAATAATCACAAATAGAATGACCATTATAAATACACTGTATTAGAAGTGTGACTTTTGTCTCATGGAATGCATTTTTGTTACATCATATGGGGAAATCAATTATCTCTCATCTCTGCTGCAGTATTTCATCATCATCCTAATTCCAGATATTTGGATGTAAACCAACCTTGCCTGGCACATTAATCTGTGAGTCTATCACAGGTAAGCTAAATAGCCACAACGGATATTTATAGGAAGAACAATTATTTTTTCAGAGTTAAACACAGAAATATGGTTGTTATAGAAATGAAAAGGAGCATTTTAGGAAACTGAATTATTAAACCGCCAAAGGAAAAAAAATACCACAATCCTGCTATTTCGATAATAAGATTAGACACAATAAACCAATAGGATAAATCCCTTCCATACTTTTAAGTAGTATTTCATGCCTATTGTCTTAAATACTGTAAGCAAGTAGACATTGTATGAAAGCCAGGGTAGTCTGGTGGCCAAAAATCAAAAGGAGAGAGATTACTTTTCCAGACTAACAAATGTTATTAAAGTTGGCAGATGATTGCATATATTACATTAGAGGATGTGCCGGCAATGCCTTTCTTGATTCTATGTAGGACCAGCAGGCCAAACTTTGGGCGGAAGAATTAATGGACTCAGGCTTGACATCAGGCCTCTAAAGAAGGACCAAGAAATATCAGAGCAATTTCAATTTTCCACTTACTCCTTGACAGATCTCAAAGTAGCCATCTTGTAAGTAGTAACAATGAAAAAAAGAGATTGCTAAACTCACATCAAGAGATTTCAGGTTATCTCAGAAGCTCTCAACAATGAGTTTTTAACACATTACGACTGTTAATTGATAAGGTACTTGTAATTTGCCCCATGTGCATCTGATGCAACCACTGTTTTCTCTCCTTCCTCCATCCATGCTTCCCAGTTTAAATCCAGCATCAGTCTAGTCACTCCAATGCATCTGATGAAGTCAGCTGTGGCCCACAAAAACTTGTATTTTAATAAAATATATTGACGTGGAAAAATGCTACTTGAATCCTTTTGATTTAAACAGGAAATGGAAATCCTTTGATTCCCATTTCAAGAAAGCATAAAATAGAGCTGTGTCTTGGTTCAAAGAATACTTTCCCTGATACTCTATGAAGTCAGCTTAGTGCTCTTGGCATTAACTCTGATCCATGTTGATTCTGGATAGGAAAAAAAAGCACACCATTATCTAAACATGGTACATACAGTAGCAAAACTTATTTGCATATTTAAGGATATATCACAATGAATATGGGGATGAGACACATCTAATCATTCTGAAACATTTCAAAATACCTTTAAAAAATTAGTTTCACTTATGTGTCATTGCAATCTGTTACAGTGATCTTTGAGGATACTGGATTTCACAGAGTGACTTTATATGATGCTTTTAGGAACTTTGTTGCAAAGTATTTGGGTCAAAGTTTATACAATTAAAAATTACTATACCTTATATTGTATGCCAATATATAAATTCCATATGCCTGAAGTTTTTGGTTTAGAAACTTCATTGCAAAACATGAAGAGCTCTCAGTTCTGGCTTAGAATAAAAAGTACAATTATTCTTTGCTCAACCATACAATTTTTAGAACAGGAAGGCTAAGCTCTTTTTGTGCCTGACACAGTAATTTCCTGCTTGTTGGACAAAGCGCTACTAACAGGTTACCCAAGGACAATGGCTTTTCATTGAAAGCGCATGAACATGACACAGTTGCATAAGTAGGGTGGCAACAGGAAAACAAAAAAGAATCAATTGTTAATAATGAGAAATTACTGCTTAGAAGACCAGCCTAATATTCACTATGGTCCCCTTATTTTGCTGGATTCCAATTACAGTTTTCATTATTATTATTATTATTATTATTATTATTATTATTATTATTATTATTATTATTATTATTATCATTATCATTATTATTATTAATAATATACATTTTATTAGATTATAGAGTGAAGTACAAAATACAAAGCAA